CTGGTACCTGAAATGCCCTTAACAACTTCTTTATCCATCCAGTGAAAACGTTTTCATCCTTTAGGACTAGCTCAGCTGTCCTTTCTTCTGCCAAGACATCTGTAGCATAAGTAGCCCCTTGTCTGTGTCTCTAATTTTAGTACAAACCACAGGTCATTGTAATTAACTGCATTCTATCTATGAACTTCTTGAGGGGAGATCATTTTTCCACCATCGGCTAACACGTGGGTTAGCACAAAGCAGGCCATTGTTTCTCAAAACATGGTACCAGATGTGCTTGCTTTAGTATCCCCTCAGATGTTAGTATTACAATGAACAGGATCTCTCTCTCTTTTTTTTTTTTTTTTTGTTTTTTGACAGGGTCTCACTCTATCACCCATGCAGTTGTGCAGTGGTGCTGCTCACAGCTTAGTGTAGCCTCAGGCTCGTGGGTTTAAGAGATCCTTCTACCTCAGCCCCCCAAGTAGGTGGGACTACAGGTGCATGCCACCATGCCCAGCTAACTTTTTGATTTTTTTTTTTTTTTTGGTAGAGATGGGAGTCTTGCTATATTGCTTAGGCTGGTCTCGAACTCCTGAGCTTAAGTGATCCTCCTGCCTCAGCCTCCCAAGGTGCTAGGATTATAGGTGTGAGCCACCACACCTGTGTGTGGGGCTAAAGATTCTGCCTTTTAAATAGGCTGCCTAGATAATTCTTTTCCACAATGAAGACTGATTATTCTTAGTTTAGACTCTTGACAAATGTTTGTTGATTTATTGATATGGACATTTGTGCCTTGGAAACAAGATTGAGGTCCATGACTCATTCTTTATGGTCAGTAGCTTTCAGAGAAGAACATATTCCCAAGATTACTTTCTCAGGTACAGCCTAAATATGGCCTCAACTTTATTCACCTAAATCATCAAAAAGTTATTGCTTAATTCTCTTTAAAAACATTTTTCCATATTACACTCAGGTGTTTCTTAATACTCATGTTAAGAGGAACATTCCACTTCCAGTATAGTCTGGTTGTGTGCACCTGTGAGATGGAGACTGTGATGGAAATGATATGTATGTCCTGATGTGCAAGAGGACTCAGGATATGTAATGAAGTTTGCCTAATCATTGTCAACCTGAGGATAGTTCTCAGGGGACCAGGGAGGTTTTAGAGAAAAGCTGCTTTGCAAATAGTTAAAAGTTGTGGAGAAGTTTTTGACTACATCTGGATAGTATTTACAATGACTAGCATCAACAGGGTGCCAATCAGAGCTGCTGGGATTGAAATTTATTGTGTTAATATTATTATAGCAAGAGAAGATAGAGTGATATGGCCCCAGAGTTATTAGAACTATTAGCTTATTAATAGAAAAATTTGATCCATTTTTCCTTCATAACGATCTCCAGCCAAACATAGCTCCAAAACTTTGGCCCCAAATCAAAAGTAATGACTCACTCTACCCCAAACAACTTCAGTGTATGCCAATCCAACATGTGGGCCATATGCGAAATGAACTAGGAGTTCTGGCATAGACACTGCGCAATGTCAAGCTGACCTTATGTTTGGTTACTATAGCATTATGAAACATAAAATGCCCCCATAAAAACAGAATTCTCTAAGGTCCAATTATATGTCAACTTGTCTTTACAAAAATTGATTACAAAATAACCCAGAAATCACAATAATAGAGTATTTTCTAGGGGCCTGTCTTCTTTAGTTGAATTGGAAGACCCATTAATTGTCAAGAAAAAGTTTGTCAGAACGGTCAAACTCTCAAAATACTCAGGATCCATATCTGTAAAATTCCATGTCAATAAAATCCCATGGATCCTCTCTAATAAGTACCAACTTATATGCCCTGAAATAAAGATTCTAGTTTTATAAAGTGGTCATGAGAATGTCTGGACAGAATATACACTTTTGCCCAGGTGAATTAGTGTCACAAATAATTACACATAACTAGAATTGTTCACTGTTTAAAAGTTCCGGCCTCAGTTTTTTTTCTCTCTGTAGATGGAATCCATTTGAAGAGGTTTTTTCCTCACTCCCTTTCTCTTCCAGGGAATGCTTTGTGCCAGTGTGCATTTCTTATATAACATACGTGCCCCAAAAGGGCATTGATCATATGACTATATTGGCATACAGCATACACTATAAGCATGCAGATGTGATGAAGATTTTGCCAACTAATATTTCCAAGTTGTGGGAAATTTTCTCCTTCTAGGCTGGCTTAGAGCATGGCTATTGTGTCCTCTCTACTGATTTAATTATTCCAAGGGAAGATTTCAGGGGAATTGCAGAGTATTTATGACTGCTCCAGATGTACCAGAAGGCCAGAGGGCTCCTAAAATCATTCAACATATGAGAATTCTTCAGAGAAATGTAGCCCCAGCACCAGGAAATCCTTTTTCTCTTTATTCTGGTCTAGAGCAGTTTTGTCCCCATTACAATCTATATCCAGATGCCAGAAGCTTCAGGGGAGATCTTTATGGACCCAACATTCAGGTATCTACAAAGTATGAATGACCCAACTCAATTAGCAGATTGGATCATTTAGTGGCAGGAAGCAACTGCAGCCTTTGGCAGGATCCATTTTGCTGGTCTTGGAAACTCTTCCCCATTGTGGCATTCTTTTGGAGGATTATTCTCTCTTTGGTTACAAAAGAGTAGAAATATATAGGTGTTTTGGATGTGGGTTTGGCCAGAAATGACATCTGTTGTCAAAATATCATTAAGAAGAATAAAATATGGAGAAAGGGAGCAAGATAATGGATAACTGAAGGGAAAGTTAAATTCCTGTTTAATCAAACACTGAAGTCTCTGGCCTCCCTTATACCTAAATATTCTCATATATTGATTCAAAGCAAGTGTCACCCCCTGTTTCTCTTTTGCCCTACTCCTAACTTCAAATTCGAATATAAAACTAGTTCAAAAGACCAACAGTGAGGGGAAATGTCTTAGAAAATTTAGAGTCAGTTGTGTATGCTTTTTATTGAAGATCCTGACTGGTATTTTTCTTTCTAACACACTTGAATTGATTTTATAATTTTTTTGTGATGCCAAAGACATCAGCAGGCATAGCATGTTATAAATGTAACCTTCCTACCTATTCCCATTAATGTACTGCATGTAAACCATATTATTTAAAAATATTTGAAGTAGCTGACTAAAAATGTACATATATGTGTGTACATATATAAATAAAACCTAATAGCTACTTGGAAAACATTGTAAATGAACTGTGCTCTCCAATTAAAACATAAAATAAAAGGGGAAGCAATCGTTAGTAAAAGGAAAAAAATAAAGAAAATAGAGATCGTTTTTAACCTTCAAATGGACAGAATTATTCTTAAACAAAGAGGGAAAAGTTGGCTGCAGATCATTATTTGCTTTGGTCATACCCTAAAAGCATTAGAGGGAAAATCACACTTTGGTCACACTGAGTGACAGAGAAACAGTTGTCAGAGTTGGACACGTTTGCCAATAGAAGAAAAATCCAGTTACCCACTACATATGGTTCATTTTGGGTTCCTGGAACTGAGAGCATATCATTATGTCTTCCGAGACTCGTGCATGGCATGTTATTACAGCTGTATATCATCAGAGCAAAAAAAAAATAATAATAATTGGTTTTCCTTGGAGTATCTCTAAGTTGATATCATATTCAATAACCCTGTAGTTGAAAAATCTATATATGATGGATGGACTCTGGACTATCTTTTGAATTTAATTCCTCATGTGCCAGCTTCTCTAGGCCTTGGTGTACCTGTCATTTTTAGGTGAGCACATGCAGTATTCAGAAAATGCAACCAGGGCTGGGCGTGGTGGTTCGTGCATGTAATCCCAGCACTTTGGGAAGCGGTGGTGGTTCATGCATGTAATTCCCAGCACTTTAGATCACTTGAGGTCATGAGTTCGAGACCAGCCTGGCCAACATGGTGAAACCCTCTCTCTACTAAAAATACAAAATTAGTTGGGTGTGGTGGTGCACACCTGTAATTCCAGCTTCTAGGGAGACTGAGGCAGGAGAATTACTTGAACCCAGGAGGCAGAGGTTGCAGTGAGCCGAGATCATGCCACTGCACACCAGCCTGTGTGACAGAGTGAGACCCTGTCTCAAAAAAAAAAAAAGAAAAAAAAGAAAAGAAAATGCAACTACTTCTGCCAGATAATGAACTATAGGATAACAATTTGTCTTGCATATATAGTCACCTCATTCTTTACTCTTAACCATGCCACCAAGAAGCCAGTCTTAACTTGCAACCCCACACTGGGGTCCGGTGCCAAGGTGCAGCTTGAATCAGTGCTGTGCATCACAGCATGGGGGTGGTGGCCTCCCTTCCTCTGAATTTGAGGGCTTCAAAGACAGCCTTAAACATACAGGTGTCTAAGATGGGCTTCCAGGCACACTGCCAGCACATCCTCAAGAACTCTTCTTTGTGAAAATAAGTATGATATCTGGATCCACTGAGGATGCTTCTTTTGTTCATCCTGGACAAAAGGATCCAAACTTGGGCAGAGAAGCCTGGAGCTGACTATCCTGGATTAGCCTGGCACTAGTACCCTGCCTGCCTCTATTTCCCAGGATTGCAGGTCTAGCCTTGGGGCTGAGTTTAGAATATGGCCTCTGCTAAGGGGCTTGGAGTTTAATCTCAGGGTTTAATGCTGCTCTTGAGCCTGGAGATGTGGCTTGGTTTGGAACTAGATGCAACCTGGCCTCTAGTTAGAAGTGACATGCCCAAACTTAGAAATTCAGATTTGTGACATGTGAGATGCAAGTTAATGTCTTCTTGAACTCAGTTTTATGTCTGACAGTTAACATATACAGTTACAGAAAAGCAATACCCCCATTAGTTTGTATGTTACTAATTTGAAATGTACGTAATATAGTCTGATGAAATTAATCTCACCTTTGACCAGAAGGCAATGCTGTTTAACAAGTTGGAGGTGAATTACTAAAATATTAAGCTAATTACCTAATAATTATTTAAGAGAACAGATGAAGACAACAGAATTTCCTTACCTATTAGCAGAGCTTCTTTCTCTGATTTTAAGCCTTGGCTTCTTTTCTCAATATTGTTCTCTCGGTCTTGGTTGACCAATGCAACTGTCAACACATTGATTTCCTATAAAGTTAAAAACCAACAACCATTCATGGGTTTATGTAGATTCTGTGCATGCCAATAAAAACACCAGATCTCTTAAACTCTATAAATGAGGTCATCACTTCTATTTATAACTAAAGATCAAATCTTTTATACAATTGATCTATTTGCCCAATAGCAGAAAAGTAACTCTATAAAGTTAGCCTCCTAGATACTGTTCCCAGCATGCCATGTAATTATCTGTGTAAGTGGCAAATTTGGCACAAATTATCTTAGATTTTTGTCCATATTTTGATTAAACTCTGTTCATTAAAGCTCTATTTGACTATAGCTACTTTAATGTGTTTTATTTCAAATATGAAAAATCTTTGGGAAAGCATACAGGGTATTGCCTCATAATACCATGCTAATAATGTGTGTGAGTGTGTGGAAAGACAGGGCCTATTGGAGAACTAAGATAGAATTGTTAGAAGTGTTTTTAAGTTTGAAAACTAAAAATGAAGAGTTGTACAACAAGCCAATAACACATGAAACATTGAGGCTGGACTATTTTTAGTTCTTTCTGTGATCTTTAAACAGAGATGAAGATTTAACTCATACCCTCCTAGACTTTTGATATTAGGACTCAAAATGGAGAGTGATTTAATGGAAAGTCAATTTAATGATCTGCATATATGACCTGCATACATGCGATAGTAGAATCACTGAGTCTTAATTGGAGGAAAGTTGCTCACTGAAAGATGGTTCCAAAGAAGGACTCGTATATTTAGTAGTAGCAGGGAACCTGCAGGAATGATAGAGAACAGGTAGGGAGAGCCGAATGGATGAAGAAGAATTCAGAAGGTTTGAACAAATGGGTTGACAGGTGTTCCCAGGACTGGAAGTGGTTATAGGAGAGATATATAGCTACTCAGTACCTATTAACAAAACTGGTCAGATCCGAGAATATAGGAAGTATTGGGAGCATGCTGCACCTGCAAAAGTGAAAGCCACACCTGAAGGCATTCAAATAAGAAAAATAAAGTCAGCACATCCCAATCAAAACAGATCTATGAGCTTAATTTAACTTATGAGCTACTACTTTTAATGCAGGGTTAATGAGAAATTGCCAGGAAAGAAGGCTCTACTGAGAAACTGCAGTTGCTAATATCTGATGAGCATTTTAGAGGCTCCTCTTAAGGTCACACTTACTTGCTGAAGGCCAAGTGATCAAGACTGAAGGAGAAATGAAAAGGGCAAAGTAAAGAATTGAGAAAATCACAGTGATGTGATGATACATCACAGGGAAGAACTTGGTTGGCTAGAGGGTATAACAGGCCTCAGGCTCATGGTAGGAACATTCCAATAAGGACAGGAGTCAGGAAGAGTTTGGGGAGTGGTCTAAGCTAAGCCTGGAGCCAGCTAGTATCATCAAAGGTTACTAGAGATGAAAGATGCTCTTACAAATCAGACAAAGGATCTTGGGAGTCAGCCTCAATTGAGACACAATGAAGAATTTTAAAAGAGAACAAATCAAAAGGCTTATGTAGATGAGATTAGAACATTTATAAAGAGAAATTACAGGAAAGGAAATAGAAGTTCCTTCTATAATAAAATAACATTTGGTACTTTCTGATTAGACTGTCTCGACTGAAGCAGAGTAGGTCTGCATGTGTACACATCATCTTTCTGGGGTAGTGGGGTCAATGGGCCTGCTGAGTTCTATTAGTGATGTGCCCTAAGGACAAATAGGTCCCACTGGGACATGGCACTGGACTTCTGTGCCTGGGAAGTGAAGACTGCTGAGAAGATGCAGGCTGAGGCTCTGTAAAGATCTCCCAAGGGAGGTGTAGGAAGAAAGAGGATAGAAGAACATTAACTAGGATAATGATTGCATCATTAAAAAAATACAAAAAATGAACCCTGGAGCTGAGTGGAAATAATATCTCCAATAGAGGGTGATCTGTTCACAGCCTGGATGGTAATTGGGGCCAAATGAAATTATTCAGAATGAGTTTAGCATATAACCGGCCCACATTAATTGCCAAGACTGAGTGGTGTCCTGGGGCCATCACTCAGTTGAAGATCTGGGTTCACTGAGGGAAATGGACTGTAGAGGACAGGCAGATGTCAGGAGCCAGTAGAGAAAGGCAAGGGCAGAAAAGACAGACCACCTGAGAATGCTGTTCTCTCCCCAGGTCCAAAAGTGGAATCACATAGAAAGGGGGACTCATGAGTAAGGCTCAAAGAAATGCTGCTGAATCAACAATGTCTACTAGGAGCCAGATAGGGTTGGGAAAATGAGTATGGAAAGATAAGAGTTTTAGGATCACCACTCTGTGGAAGTATTTCTTGAGACTGGATGCTGGAGTTTGTGCTCTGCTGACTACAAATGGTGTGCTCTTACGCAGTCATGGCCAGTGACTGGAGTGGACACATCTCTGCATGGCTCCCACAATAGTCCTGCAGGCCTGGGTTCAACGGAGACCAGAAGCTTGGCAGACACTCCAGCTTTGGGGGACATCTCTGAGTTTTCTCCAGGTTGGAGACAGAGCTGTTTTTCTCACTCTAGAGGGAGAAGAACTATGCTAGAAGTGGTATAGGATCATTGAAGCTGATCAGGCAGGCTCCAAGGAATGCTCACATCTTATAATAAACTGGCCTCAAGAATCTCCAAGGGAAAACATCATTTTCATTAGAGTCGAGGGTGTGTCCAAGCCTATTAAATAGTCTATAGCACTGAGTGAGGTGGACCAACTTATGACCAGTCAAAAGAGTCACTACTGACTAAGCTCTGGATCCTAAGCCTGCCTTGGGCCTGGTACAAGCTCAGGCTCCTGCTGACAAAGTCACAGAGCTAATTAGATGGGTGAATGCTTATGTCATCCATTTTGCCAAAGAGAACAGTTAAAGTTAATATAGTTGTGTTTCAAGGGATAGAAGACATGATAGCGATTTTAGACAGCCACATTATATGTTGTGGTTTTACCTTTTCCAACTATTCAAAAAGGGGAGTTTTAATGACTCACTAATCATGGATTCCTTAGAAAAATAAGGTTAATTTGATTTGTCTGTATTTATGTTGGTATTGTTCAGTTGAATAAGAAAATGACAATTATTGATAATCTACAAGTTTGGGGTAGTCTACAAAGTGGATATAAGCAACAGCTATACCCTCTCTGTTTTTATTTATTGTCTAGAAATCTAAATTATCACATTTGTCAAAAGAGTTCCATCATCATGATTGTTTAAGGTGAAGGGAATACACAGAAAGAATGTGGAATTGAGTAATTCCCAAACCAATTCCTTGTTGCATTTAAGCTAAGCCTGTTTTCACTTTCAGCCACCGAGTAAATATTTATGCTAAATACATACATCACATGCCTACTATATGCCAAAGAATTCTAAGTTTTTAAGGATACGGCATTCAAAGTGATCAGAAGTGCAAGCTTACCCAGGGACCAGCAAGCAATTCTTATAAAAGGTCTAAAAGAAAGAAATATGAGTAGATGACGCTAGAAAAGTAGGTAGATCATGGTAAGAAGTGTAGATTTTATCTGGAAGGCTTAACAAGTGAAGACTTTTGAGCTCTGCATTTTAGAACATTGGTTTAGAGGCAAATGAAACTGGAGTCAGCCTACTGCAAAAGTGTATCCACTTTTGCTTTTTGATGATTACAGTCAAAACCAAAAACAATGGTATGCAGAGTGCCAACAGCATGTAAGAGGTGGAACTAAAAAAAAAATCTGGTGACCTGGTGGATAATGAAAATATTGAGAATGAGTAGGTGCCTCAGTGAATAGGAGAAAATAGAGAAATAGAGAAAATAGGAAAATAGAGAAAGAAGATAGTCAGGGAGAAGACTGTGTGTTCAGTTTAGGAAATATTGAACTTAAGGTTTCTATAGCATCTTGTCAAAATATTTTAGAGGAAGTAGGATGTGCATGTTTCTGAACTTAGAAGTGAGGCTCTGACAGCTCTTTTTATAGGGCCTTTCTCAGGTTTTGTTTGCAGCAGGCAATCTTGATGTTTCCTTGTGGGACAAAGAGCAGGCTTGCTTAGACTTGATATAAAAAAGGTAGATTTCTAAGCTCAGTGTTTCTATTTTGTAACACAAACCACTGCATGGGCTGGCATCCTCTGGGACCCTCTACAGAGATGCTCAGGTTATAAGATCTGTGAGGGTAAGTCTGGTGAAGCCAAAATTCTTCTGGGAACAATCTCTCAGTTGGATTTCATATTATTTACATAGGACACTCCAACTTATCTTTTTAGTAATTGGGGAGCACATATTATAGAGACATTGAATCATAAATTATGCATGGTTTTGCTCCTTTCTTAAAAGGTTCATAGTCCTTATTACTGTCTCTACCCCAAATCTCTAGAGAATGGAAAGGACCTTATTGGAATGAGACAGTTTTATCATTAGAAACATAAAATTATGAAGACCCTTTATCCTTCTATCACCTTAAAATCCTTTAGCCTGATAGATGCAACATGTCCAGAAGAATGATGAGTCTACTAGATATTCCAGAAAAGAGGTTCCAGATGCCTAGTGATTACAAAGTAGAAGTAAGTGAGTGGGGATGGAGTGGGAGGTGAGGAAGGTTACTAAGTGTAAATGGTTAGTGCTATAGAAAGTACACAGTGGGAAAGGAACATTAGGATGGAAATCAAGTTTCCTCCTTCCAGTGAGATCTATTGGATTATGAAGTAGTCTCCCAAAGGAAGTGGCAAGAACACAGTAAAAGCATACCAGAGTAGAAAATGCACTGCAGGTAACAATTATGCACTTGACATGAGATTGGAGATTACCTAATAAATCTTTTCTCAGTCTACCTTTTAACTCTAATTTCTGTGATACTTAGAAGGAATCATTAAAGGGTTAGAGAAGAGGTTTTCAATAACTGGAAACTAGATATCACAGACTTTTTAAAAGATTTCTTTAAGAGTTAGCTACTTGAAGGCAGAAATTTCCCTTCTAAGAGTCCTCATCACTTACTTTTCCGTAGTCTACTGAGTTAGAATAGTGCTTTGTTATT